CGTTTTTTTTCTCAATACTAAAACGATATCTTGGCTCATCAAATACGGATGTAATATCATCGATATCCGGGATATCGGATAATCCGGATAAGTTCGGATATATCCGGATATTTAAAAACGGATATTATCCGGATATTTATTCAAAATTTAAAAATCACAAATTTGAACCATCAAACTATCTCAAATGGAAAGTTGACCAAAACAACAATTGTAGATCTTGATGAGTTGAACAAACTTGGTATTCAAAACTTTTCAATTTGAAGTCATTTAGAGTTCATAATACTAGAGTCAAAGTGTTGTTTTTATTTGACCAAATTTGACTTGGTCAAACTTGCTCAAATGAGACAATAAATGACCTCAGATGAAAAACTCTGAATACCAAGTTTGATCATCTCAGCAAGATCTACAATTGTTACATAATTTGAGAAAGTTTTCATAGTCTTCTCATTTGAGATCAAACACTAGGAAAATGGTTGGAAAGTCTTGTGTGAAATTTGAACTATATTTTGTTCAAACTTTCTCAAATGAAAAAATAATCTTAACATTGTATATCTTGATGAGATGAACAAATTTGGTATTCAAAACTTTTCAATTTGAGACAATCTAGGGTTCCGAAACTAGTTTGTAAACGTTGAAATTTAAAAATCATAAATTTGAACCATCAAACTATCTCAAATGGAAAGTTTACCAAAACAAAATTGTATATCTTGATGAGTTGAACAAACTTGGTATTCAAAACTTTTCAATTTGAAGTCATTTAGAGTTCATAATACTAGAGTCAAAGTGTTGTTTTTTTTCATTTGACCAAATTTGACTTGGTCAAACTTGCTCAAATGAGACACTAAATGACCTCAGATGAAAAAACTCTGAATACCAAGTTTGATCATCTCAGCAAGATATACAATTGTTATATAGCTCATTTTCCCATTTGAAAAGTTTTATCAAACACTAGTCACAAATTCTTGAATCTCATATAGACTTTCATACTATGTCACACACTTGTGAAATTTGAACTACATTTTGTTCAAACTTTCTCAAATGAAAAAATAGCCTATATAAGGATTGTAGATCTTGATGATCTGAACAAACTTGGTATTCAAAACTTTTTCAATTTGAGATAATCTAGGGTCCAAAACTAGTTTGTAAGCATCGAAATTTAAAATGACAAATTTGAACCGTCCAAACTATCTCAAATGGAAAGTTGACCAAAACAAAAATGTAGATCTTGATGAGTTGAACAAACTTGGTATTCAAAATTTTCAATTTGAAGTCATTTAGAGTTCATAATACTAGAGTCAGTGTTGTTTTTCATTTGACCAATTTTGACTTGGTCAAACTTGCTCAAATGAGACACTAAATGACCTCAGATGAAAAACTCTGAATACCAAGTTTGATCATCTCAGCAAGATATATCTTGTTACATAGCTCATTTTCCCATTTGAGAAAGTTTTATCAAACACTAGTCACAAATTCTTAAATCTCATATGGTTTTCTAAAACTATGTCACACACTTGTGAAATTTGAACTACATTTATTCAAACTTTCTCAAAATGAAAAATGGCCTATATAAGGATTGTAGATCTTGAATCCATGACCATGACTCCATGAGACCCATGAAGCAATGTCTGTGGCTATTTTTACTCACCATGCCGAAGATTGGTGCTTATATGATGTTTGATGTATGATGTATCATCTCATTTCTTTATCTTATTTGTTGCTTTACTTCTTTAGTCTTTCTTTTAATCTAGATGGCTTTTCGAGAGAGTGGTGTAATGGTTTGCTTAGAATCTATATATATATATCTATGTTTGTACTCAATATCCGAATAGATATTTGTATCCGAAATCCGATTCATACCGTATTCGATATATTATTCGTATCCGAATTGTCCGTGATTCAATATGTATCCGAACGTTATCCGTGTCCGAATCCGAATCCGAACAGAAATATGAAAACAAATATAATATGAGTGATATCCGTTCGTATCCGATCCGTTTTCATCCCTACTTATGAATGTGAAATACTGAAATATGAATGAATTGTGAAATGTGATCGTGAAAATGGAGAAGTGTTGGATGAGAGAAGCAGTTTGATATGTTTTAAGGGTACCGGGCTGTGGACAGGCACGGCTCGCGGATTTGGCCATGCTTAGCGGGCCTGCACGGCACGGATTTCGGCTCATAGGGCCGTGCTTGGGCCGAAGACCAGGCACGAGACCCGGAGGGGCATGGCCCCAGCCCAACCCCCTGCGGTCCGTGCTTGGCCCGGGCCGGGCCGGGCCGTTGGCCGACTGGCAGCACTCGATCAGGCAGGCAGGTTTTCGTGTGCAGCAAGTTGACAGCGGGCGGGTTGGCAGGCAGGCAGGCAGGCCTGTGAGGCTTCTTGTGCAAGTCAAAAGCTGCATTGATTGATAGCCAATAAGGCCGTGTTTAGTTGCCCAGAATCTGCGCCCGAAACACTGTAGCAACACTGTAGCAACAGTGTCGTTTTGTTTTTATTTGTACTAATTGTCAACGCAGGCAGGCGTTGTATCGTAAAACAAAACTTGTAATTAGTTTTTGATTTCGTCAACATTTAATACTCCATACATGTGTCAAAGATTTGATGTGATATGATGTGATGAAGAATCTTACACTGTGCAAATTTTGGAGATGCAAAATTGGTGCAACTAAACAAGGCCTAAGAGAGATAGAGAGAGGGGGGAAGGCGTTCACCGTTCCTTCACAGCTTCACTCGATAGTCGATACCCCTTTCCCTGCCATAGACCAAAACGCAGCCGCAGCAGCCGGAGAGAGAGAGAACCAGCCGCGCTGCCACTCAGCAAGTCACTGTGGAAGCTTTCCACCAACAAGTGGAAGGTTCCCCGCAAGAAGTCGTCCAAGGTCTCCATCAAGAAGCCACCCAGCAGGTTGAAGCCGGTGGAAGCCGCAGGCGGCGGCGAGGGAGACGGAGATGAGAGAGCCATCGTCTTGGGACGACTCCCCGTCGACATGTCTTCTTCCCCGCTGCAAATGGAGCAGCCGCACTCGCACTCGCAGCAGATGGTGATGATGGACGCGTCCCTCTTCGACTGTGCGTCCTGCTCCCAAATCCTGAAACCACCTACGTTCAAGGTCAGTTGCTGCTGCTGCTGCTCTGCTCGATTTGTGGGAGGGAAATATCAAATATATACATCTGATTCTTGGCACTTGCCTTGGTGGTTTTGGGTTGCACTGCATGCAGTGCGACGCCGGGCACGTCGTGTGCGAGGACTGCAGCGCCAGCCACGTCGAGGTGTGCACCGACGCCGTCTCCTCCATCCGAATGCCATGCCCCGAGATGGACCGCATGGTGCGCGGCGCCATGGTGTCCTGCACCCACAAGCATCGCGGGTGCACAGGCCCGGTACGAGTTGGCGGAGCACCTAAGGTCCTTGCCGCTTCGCGCCGTCCTGCTCTCTCAGCAACCTCGAGACCGCCGCTGCGGCATCTGCGTCAGGCTCGCCGACCCCTGCGCCCGCGACACGGCCCAAGAGGGACCGCAGGCCCAACCCGCGATACGCCGGCCCATCCTGGATCACATAGCTGAGGGGAATGAAAGGAATATGAACAAATTTGTAATTGAATTCTGCTATATATTCTGAATGAAGCTGTCCTCGGAAGTCGGAACTATTATATTCCCCTGTTCTTCTTCTCCGTCTCCTGACTGCACCTTCATGGCCTCCGGCCCCCCGCTTGCCATGAAGTACAAATGAGTTCTTTCTTTCTTTCTTTCTTTGCCTGCCAGATTTTCCAAATTGGTTTCAAACAGACCTCCCACCGTCCTTACCTGCTACTGATAGCAGCAAGCATGGCGGGCAACCGACAGAGAATCCACAGTATTTTAATTTTCCAAGAACAAAAATCTACTACCAGTATTTGTTTACAAGAATCGGCGGCATAGTAGAAATTGGTTATCACCTTTTGGTTTTCTAGACCGTGTAACATATTTTCTACATAGACGAAATTTTCATCGACAGTCTATTATGAAGCATGCAGATAATTTACACAGCCTTTATTTGCACAGAAAGGATATTAGTTTTTGGAGCTTTGTTACGGTGGTTGAAAAATACCACTAGTAGTACGCTTCAGTAGGTACTTTCATTTCTGATTTTAATCTACCATTGATCTAGAGAAGATAATAATTATTAGTAAAATTGGATTTATTCATTGGCTCATGCCGGCGCGCCTGGCTGATGATCCGATCCGAGCACGCCGAAACCGCCCGGAAGTGTCGCGGCTGCCTCTGCCTGCCCTGCCAGACTTCCGTCGACAGACACAGAAAGATCTGTGCAAAGCGAGGACAGCAGCACAGCACGCCAGCGCCAGCCCGTTCGTTTGCCTATGGCGTGGGGTAAACGATCGTAAATTTCCAACTTAGAACAACATTTTGTATTTTTCTCTCACACAAACCAGCCAGCAGTACTTCACGAACCCGCCAACCGAACAGGCTGCACATGCACGTTGCTCAATAAAGGAGGCGACAAACCATTCTCCTTATTGTCGCAAGGCCACAAATTCAGGGCATCAGCCCTATTCTTATGTGTGAAAAAACCTATTGTCCACTCAAATCACGTTACTAGAAAAACGATTATCTCAACATCTGATACTGACAAAGCCATTCTTCTTTCTATATATGAGTAGAGTATATGACTACTACAGAATCTGACCAGTAACAAACAATCGGCTGCAAATGCATCATCACTACTACGGAACCTCAACATCTCGCTGCAAATGCCCACCACTCTTTTCTTCTTCTTTCACTGTGATATAACAATCGACTACTACAGAATTTAACCAATAAATCTTCGCAAACAGAGAAACAATAAAAAAGAACATCATATTATTGGTTCGCTGTAAACTGAATGGCTCTCCATCTCCAGAAGACAAATCTGGGGAGCTACGACGCTGGAGGAGGGAGTAAAGCCATGGGCAGAATGAGCATGACTCGTATAAAGGGTGCTGATGGTCGCGAGAGAGTTCTCAGTCTTCCGCGGTGCCATGGCCGTGGGGCACGGCTTCTGTGTCACCAGCACTGTCGGCCGCCAGCCTTTCCTCAAGAACCCTCTCGCCGCGCTCCCTGAAATGATTGAGATGGAATTAGTCAGCTCTTAATAAGCAATATAAAGATTTGTTTCTGAGATTCCAAACATTTCAGTAACACGGTTTCAGTCTCTAGCTGCCTTTGCACAGTAGTTTAACACAACTTTTGTGGTGCTAGCTCTATTATTAGCACTTGGAGTTGAATGGCGTCTAGAACTCTAGATGCCTCAATCAAGCCTTTAAGAATTACCATCGCAACCAAAGCCAAGCGCCAGCAGCAAATATGACCGGCTGGTATAGCACAACAATACCACCTTATCTAAATTCTAACTAAAAGTGAACTTTTATACCTTCTTCTTGAAGCCTTGGTAGGATCTGAAATTGGGAGAGCCACTTCCGAAGGCCTTGACCTTGCACACAACATCCTATCAAACAGGTTGGCCACAGGGTCTGTAACTGGTCTGCAGGGAAAACAAGAGCATCGAATGATATCAAAAGTGAGATCAGTAGTGAGTGTTTGCTGATGTAAAAGGAAAAAATAACAGAAGATTCAAAGTACCTCATGGCAGCTGGGAATAAACTGGGGAAGGAGAAGTCATCACTTGGATCACCCTTAAGTCCAGTCAGTGGGTTCCTTTGGAAGTATCTCAGGTAAAGCCAACTAACATACATCCCAGACACCAAAGTTGGCAGGAAGTTAATGGAATCAGGCACAATGAAGGCCATGATACTTGAGAAACATACAACAAAGAATGGCATCCACTGCAGTAGCAAGAGAGAAACAAAGAGATAAGATGACTCAGCATCAACAAGCTTGTAAGTGTCTGCGGAATAAGTACACTGGTACAATAAGTATAGTATAGCTGTAGGCTTAGAATGGCAAAATATTCAGTGCAAACCACATCTTCGGTGCAATCCATGAAAACCCCATTAAAACCATACTTAGGAGTTTTTAAAAAAATTGAAACTATGCACACCTATAGTGCATATGTAGATGTGCATTGTCACAAAATTTGAGGTTCAAACTCGTTTTGCAAAAATTCATATGAAAATAACAAATTTCATTTGCATATGCACTAGAGGACAAAATTCCCAAATGAAATTTGTTATTTTCATATGAATTTTTGCAAAATGAGTTTGAATCTCAAATTTTGTGACAATGCACATCTACAGATGCACTATTGGTGTGCATAGTTTCAAATTTTTTGAAAACTCCTAAGTATGATTTTGCAAAGGGTTTTCACGATTGCACCGAAGATATGGTTTGAACTAAATATTTTGCCGGCTTAGAAATGGCTATTTGGTATACCTTTGCCTTTATTTTCCAGAAAAAGCACATAGGAAGCTCAAGGTTTGGTAAGAGCTGCTTCAGGGCCACAAGGAAGCCAGCAAGGCAACCGTGGAAACCAGAAAGTGGTGTGACACTGCATGTCATGGCATAAGGGTCAGGTAATGTGCTCAGACAGTAACCTTATTTTCTCAGAAAGTAGTATGTGACCATGTAACCTAGCAACTCGAATGACGCAAAAACAACTAACAATGATCGTTTGGTATCAATGTGTCTAAACTCCAAAGATTTTTAATTAGTGACTAGAAGAGTAGCTGTTTGATATCAGCTAGTTATTCTGCAGTTCTTACTGGCAGACCTTATATTCATTAGAAGCAGATGTCAACACGAGCACATCAATTGACCATCTTGACACTCGACGAAGGCATGGGAAATAAGAGCATTAAACAGAACTAAGAGCAGTGCCAGATAATGAGTAATTAGTAATAGGCACATCTGATAGACTGAATGATGGATTAAAACTTACAGGAAGCTCTCCTTTCCGGTGACGTAGTAGAGGCCAATAGCAAAGCAGAAAGCAAGAATGCCACAGATGGAGTTGATCAAAATAATGAACTTCAAGAATTCCTTGCGGCCCCAAGCTGGTTCAATGTCCTTTCCACAAAAGAGAAGACCAAGAGAACTGCCAATGGCCTGTAAAAGCAAAAATTCTGTTTGTTATCATTAAGAACATAACAAAGGAGACTACTTTATGCTGTCAGAGAAATGCCACTCCTTGTCTCTCAAATTTTGGAGCATAATATGGTGCAACCACATGGCAATTTTACTATACCAAAGCGACGAGCGAACTTTAACAGCATATGTTTGCTTCAGCTTAAACATTTAATTTTGGGGGTTCTTACAACAGGGCGATGCACTAGGAAGATCATGTTCAGCAATAGCACAGCCCCCACCCCCTAAAAAAATGGGCTCCCAAATACTTCTTTCCATATACTTGGCAAACCTGAAGCAGGTAGCTTGCATGTTGCAAACATGTAGCTGTTCCTTCCAAGTAAGTCCACATGGCTATCTTAGTTCTCTCTCTGCACCCCCATTCAATCCTTGTTGATTTGCTGCTGCAAATTTCTTCTACTAATCATCATAAGAATTAATTACTCCACTTTTAACTCTCATGATACCTCATTCAACCCTTTCTGGGACGGAGGAAGTACTATGCGTTTTCCCAAAGTAATCCTGTTCTGGTAGTATTCATCTATTTTATTCTCGAGGTGCAGGCTACAATGCCAGGGGTCTGGAATGCAACTCATCGAAGACACAAGCAAAGAAGTTGTTTGTTGTTGAGCCTGAATTTAATATGTCTATGGTTCAATCTTTAGTTTTGCAAAAGATTATCTCAATATGAAGATAAACTTTGAAGATTTCATTGTGAAAGTGCTATCCTGATTTCTTTTGCTCTTTTAACATTATTACTGCCTGGTATAATATTTTCAAGAAGTATGCATTGTAAATGGAAAAGGTAAACAATTTAACCGTTGACATTTCTTAAACGTAGGGCCTAACTATGCATAACTCAAACTTTGAATCAAATAAACATAGGGGGCAGCAAATCGAGAGAAATTGAGCTCACCCTGGGAGGACTTGCTCGATGTAACCAGCAGTGAAGACAGTCCATACATAGGGGATTGTCCTGCAAGGCGCAGACACAAGTCAAAGGAATGTCCTGGGGAGCCACCACCACTCTGCCGGGAAAAGCTGTCTCTTTTGAGCGTCGTGGGCAGAGGCACGTACTTGGAGGGGATGATGGCGAGGTAGTTGAGTGACGAGGGGAGGAGCTGGAGCAGCACGTATCCTCCGATGAGCACGACGACGAGGCCCTTGCAGGTGCGCGTGAACCCCTTGCCGGGGGTCTGCAAAAACGACAAGATCCGGATTCGGTGGACAAGCAGTGAGCTGAATCAGAAACCCAGACGAAGCAATGGCGAGCAAGCAAGAAGTGCAAGAAATGAAGGCAGAGGAAGGAAGGCGCTTACGACGGCAGGCGGAGCTCCGGCTGGCTCCGCAGATCCGGGGGCCGGAGCCGTGTCCGTCGGGTCCTGCAGCGGCTGGCTCTCCATCATCACCACCGCCGCTGCCTCCTCTCGCAGATGCAGATCTACTTCTCCCTTGTTGCCTTGTTTGGTGGAGACGTGGAGTGGTGGCAAATGGCAATAAGAAAGAAGGGGAGGGGAGGGGAGGAGGAGGTGGGGTTGTTGGGGGTTACTCTCCACTCCCCCTCCGGTCAACCCTGCTACTGCCTACTGTTGCTGCTAGGCTTCCCCCTCCTCTCCTCTCCCACCCAAAGCTTCCCTTCCCTTCTCCTTCCCTTGCCTTCAGTCCACCAGTCACAGAATGCCGATGCACGCCCAACACCGGAAAGCGAGGGAGGAGAAGCGTCCGTTCTCCGTCTCCGTTCCAGCCTCACCTTGTCTATTTCGCTAACTTCCCTCGCTTGATTTTTGTATGTGGGCCCGTCCACCATTAATCAACTGCTAGTAATGTCTTGCTTTCCTTGGGGCAACGTGAGTCAAACAGGCCACCAACCAAACCATTGTTAGAGCAAGTATAATAAGCGGCTGCAAGCAGATTAAACGCTAAGGTAGAGAAGAATAAGGGAGGAGGAGAGTGAAAAGAAGTGGATTGTAAGTTTATAGTCGGCTTGGGCACAGAATCAATAAACTCCGTGAGAGAGAAAGTAGGCCACGTATTAACAGTGAAGATATTACTACTATGGGTGGGCTGAGAGGTAGGCTGCAATAATTCATACAGTTAGCAGTCGGCTATATTATTAACCTTGCTCTTAGGCTCAAACAAACAATGCATGAATGTTAAGATAAACGCTTAATAAAAAAAGAGAATTGCAAAGCATATGCACGAGAGTGTTAGGTTTATTTGATTTAGAGCCTCTTATGCAGCTTCATCGTTAGACAATAATCTATACACCGGACATCCAAAATCGAACATTTGGAAACATTCATAGATTGTCTAGAAGTTAAGCAAACACATCTTTAGTTCCTAATGGTAGCATCTAGACTTATCCTGGTGGATTAATCAAGAATGGATCCATCGAGCTAATAGTCAGTTATTAACAATTAGCTAGGTTGAATTCAAACAGGTACAACTAATAAAGTAGCTAATTATTAGTTGAATATGCTAATGACTACTCCCTCTGTCTAAAAAAATATAATTCTAGCTCTGAATCTGGACACACGTCATATCTAGGTTCAAAGCTAAAATTGTTTTTTTTTTCTGGACGGAGGGAGTATCTCATTAGTTAGACCAACCTAGCTAGTTGTTAGCTAAGAGCTATTAGTTAATTAACTATTAGCTACTAACGGATTCAAATAAGTCCTAACTAAGTTAGTGTTCGTGTTCTACAAAGTATAAAGCTAGTGAACTCCAAAGGTTGTCGTATAAGTACATGTCATATGTATATTTTGATCAATAAAAAGCCAAACACAATAAATTTTGACCATAACAAAACATAAATATCATTGCAGAGTCAGTTTGAATACAAAAATCTATTGATATACCAGTTTTATATTCTAAATAAACTTCTATGTAATTTAAATAATTGATGATAAAAATTTGACTTTCCCATTTACAAAATATGATTACTATCATTGGACGAAGACAGTATACAATAGTAGTACTTTTTTTGCCTTTTGAGGAGCTGCTGCAAAGTGCTGACTCCGTGACGACCGGGGGTTGCATAATTTGCACGTTAACTAAGCCTGTTCGCTTGATCGTATGATCGTAAATTTCCAGCCAAAAACAGTGTTTTTCTCCTACACAAACCAACCAGCAGTAAATAATTCACGATCCAATACGGTCTCCCAAACAGGCTGAGTATTTTTCTCTCATACCAAACCAGTCAGTAGTAAATAATCCACGATCCTTTACGATGAAATGAACAGGCTGAACATCTCGCTGTCACCTAAGCATTGTCATCTTTTTCTTTTGGTGTTCACGAATCACGAGAGCTCGACACATCTAGCATCACGCTAAAAAGCTGGTTAGAAATATATGGGTTATGGCGAGTGAGTTGGGCAGGCCGTTGCTTTCCTCATCCTAACTTTTGTTGCAGTACATACCACCTAAAGCGAAGCGGCTTGTCACACTAATTATCTTGCGCTCACAGAGATCAGGTTAGGACGTGTGTTTTCATCCATATATGTAAGTCAGTAAGGAATATATGGTGGTTTGTAACTCTCAGTTTACATGGCACATTCAATCTTCATTTTTCGGTACCAAGAGAAAATACCACCATCCAACAATTATTTATCCTAACTCTCCATCAATAAAAACATGCATATAGGTAGTCTGAAATTGAACATAAGCATGACCCAGAAGTCTGAAAAGTTGGAAACAACTCCATACATTTATCACCGTTGGTGGGGCCGTCGGCCGCGGCGTGCTACCTCTCGGATCTAGGAGGGGGAGGGGGAGGGATATGGAGAGGAAGGGGAGCCAGGCAGAGGTGGCAAAGGTGAGGCGAGCTCGCACCGTTGGTGGGGCCAACGGCGCACGAACGGATCCAGCCGCAGCCGCGGAGGCACCAGATTTGGCAACGCGCTGGGCTCCGATCGCATAGACCGACGCGAGCTGCCTCGGCTGTGGTAGGCCTCCCGTGCGTCGTTAGGTTGACGACACAGGTTGGCACACCATGCCGGAGGGGAGGGAGGGTGGGCGGGCTTCGGCGTCGTGACGCAGCCTGACCTTGGACGGACACGCGTGAGTGGAGGCAGGTGCGGCAGAGGGGGAGGCGGAGCAGGTGCTGGAGGCATGGGGAGGCGCGAGGGAGAGAGGTAGGGAGAAGCGGAGTGCGGCGGATCCACGGGCCGCGCTCGACATGGCTGCAATGATGGAGGTAGAAGCAGAAGCGCAGCACGAGGCCATGGGTTGCGGAATACCTGAGCTTTTTCCCCTCTTTCCGTAGGAGAGCAGGGGCTTGCCTAGATGCTGGAAGCTTCGCTGGATAGGGCGATGTGCGGAACGTGGATGGCAAATCGAAGGGGCTGGGAGAAGCGGTGACGTGGGCGGCTGTGGGAGCAGAAAATGGTGTACAAAAATAAGGGTAATGGTAGATGTCCATTTTACCATTTTTGTCTATATGTGAATCAAAATTTTGTAGTTGCCTCTGTCACTCAAATGATACTATTAAACTAGTATCCCATATACAATAGTTGTAGTATCTCTGATTAGCCTAGAGGGGATAAATAGGCTTGTCAAAACAAACTTAAGCAAATGTTAAATTCCACCCCGCGGCACTGTCACTCTGCGTCACTACCGGGCCAGAACAGCGGCACTACCGCACCTGCAGACAACTTTGAGACATAATTTAAAATCTAAGTATGAAACTTAGATAAGAGAAATTACTAAGGCTCTTGCAGGTATGTAGTTTACAGATCGACAGCTAAAAGTGGTAGGAACAACAAACATAAGTAGATCGACCACAAACCCTAGAAATCAACTCAACAACAATTTGAAATGCAAGTAAAGTAAATCAGGCACAAAGGTGATACAATGATTTATCTCGTGGTTTAGCTCACCACCAAGGCTTGCCTAAGTCCACGTTGTTGAGGTTATCCACTAAGGTTTAGGGCTTTGCAACCCTTTCTCGTTCTCAAGTCAAGAGGGTTAACTCTTGAGATGAGGGGTGAGTTTACTACCTTCAAGAGATGATTACAAACCTCCGAGGACTGCCATACACGTTGGCAAGCTCCACGGGCGATGCTCTAGACGGCTAGGAGCAAGCTCTAAGAGTAACAAACACAACCGTCAATCAAAACGTGAACCAAGTGCTCTTTTAAGTTGGAAAATCAGTGGATCTGTTGTCTAATCGAGTTTGGCACATTTTTCTCTCAAGGATTGATGGAGAAATCACAAGGGAAAGCTTGAGAGCTTTTGGGCACCAATGGAGGAGATAGAACAAGAGCTAAGCCAAAAGGCGTCAGTCTGGAAAGCTGAGTGAGGAAGAAGACCGTTTTGAGGGAAGAGAAGAGGTATAAATACCTCCCCAGGTCCCACCTGTCAGATAAGTCACGGTAGTGCCACATCTTACCCGTGACAGTGCCACTTTGCAGCATAGACGCACCTCAAGTGCGGCACTGCCGCACCAAGCCTGACAGCAGAGATAAAAGAGTGTTGAGCAAGTTGTCATGGCTGAACTTTTGAGGAGGCTTGAGTGTAAGATTAAGCACTTGGTAGCACAAGTTGGCTTAAGCATTGTGTTCCCTTTATAGTATGGCTTTTTCTATACTCAAATTCAAAATATAAAAGAATATGAACCTTCTTTGAGTTTGAAGCCGTCAACATTTGTAATTGGAGCTCCTCCGTTTTGTATGACATCCTTGATTCTAAATTCCCTGTTTGTCATCTTGATAAATCTCATTAGTCCTCTAATTGAGCGTTCATTATCACCAAAACCCACAATTAGGACTTGATTGCACTTTCAATCTCCTTCTTTTTGGTGATTGATGACAACCCAATTAGAGCTTACAAAAGATATGAATTAAATCAGAGATTTTTCGAGCCATGGGTGTAGAACCTTCCCCTAAATATGTGAATGGAGAATTGAATTTTCAATTTGGTATAATAGGCCAAGATTCACATTTTTAGTGAAAGTGATAGGGCTCCCCTATATCCATGCTCCCATGGGGTGCAGCACACTATGTCAAGTATATAATCGTGATGCAAATGACAGTTCATGCACAGAAAGGTTTGCTGAGACAGCTAGGTGCAGCACTGCCGCTCCTTAGCCGCAGAACTGCCGTAGAGCGGCACTGCCGGGCCAGAGGTGCAGCACTACCGCACTTGCTGCAACAACACAGATCAAATCAAGCACCACATAGCAGATTATATAAGAAATAAAGAACAATCTAGCACAGATATATGACAAGCTACAGCATAGAAATGATACATGTCCACATCCGATACATATAGAGTACTTAGGTAGCAATTATTACACAAATAGAGTTTTGATCGGCTCTCAAACTCACACCTAACAACTACTCTCATCACATAGACATGAAGCTCCAACTGCAGCAACTACCACCATGGCGTCGAAAAGAAATTGACC